TTGCTTTAGTATGGTCTTTTTTTTTTGCAATTTGTCTGATGCAGTGGTCTGAATTACCCATGAATTCAGAACATTTATCAGTTTTTTAAACTCAGGCAGCATAATTTTGCACCAATGCTTTTATATTCGATTCTAAAGATGCACTGCCTTACTAGAATAGTTATTTCAATCACGGGAAACTGTTGATTTCATGCACATGGTCTTTTAGCTTGTCAAGCGAAGCAGAATGTCGAGCCTCTCTGACCTTTAGGCCACAGCTGCAGGAGAAACTGAAGCAACCTTCAGGTGTGATGAAAAGGATTTTTGGCGCCTGCTTTCACATAAATAACCTGCCGGGTGTTTTCGGAACATGCGGGCAGGTTGCAGGATGACAGATAGTCCATTTGAGTCAAGCTTAACAAGTCACACCGCTGGCTGTCGCTTCTGTGTCCGCCTCGCTGCCTGATGAATCTAAAATAGTGTTTTGGCCTCATGCCTCATAGAAACCCAAGTCTGAAAATGAATAATTCATGGAGGAAAGCACAAATAAAGTAACAAACAATGAAATAGACCTTGGACAGAAATCCCTCTGTTGTTCTTTATCTATCACTCACAATTATGTGTTCAGCCACTGCTGAAACAAAACCAATGTGTTTTTTTTTTTTTTTTCAATTCTAACAAGAATGCAGTATAAGATAAATCATACTTATTCAAGAATCACACCAGTTTTATTGGTGACATTTGTGAATAAAAACAAGACATTTAACTTTGCTATGTGTGTAAAATCATTACTATTATTAGATTATACTCACTATGGATGAAAAATTGTTTATCAAACCACAAAGCAAACATTTTTAACCTCTTCTCTTGGCTACCAGTCCTAATCCCTGTTGGAGGTAAATAATATGTACAGTAAATAAACCATGCATGGAAACTGATGGATGGATGGATGGATGGATGGATGGATGGATGGATGGATGGATGGATGGATGGATGGATGGATGGATGGATGGATGGAAATGCATGGATGAATCTGAAAGAATAGGTGGGTGGATCAATAAATCTTTCTACTGATGAAAGGATTTATAATTCTGTCCTAGGGCTGACCAATATATCAAGATTTTAATAATATCACCATTTTTTCCAAAAGAGATAGATGAGTGTATACCATTACAACAACATTAAATAACCCCAGAAAATGGCAAACTCCAGTTTGGCTTTTATGAGTTGTTTTCAACAGTGGGTTCCTCCTTGGTCTGACACGGTTGTTTCTTGAGCCTGAAGTTAAACTTTAATCTCTTGAGAAGATTTTTTGGGCCCCCTTTTTTTTTTTTTTTTTTGACCATTATTATTATCATCCACCTCTGTGATTTGGCATCAATTTTTCTTCTACAACCACATCCAGAGAGGTTGGCCATGGATATTAAATTTCAGAGTAATATGTGCAGCTTTAGTCACAGGAACATTAAGCTGCCTGGAGTTGATTTTATGGCCTATATAAAACTTTCTATAACTTTCTTTCTAATCTCCAGAGACAACTCTTTCCTTTGCTTCTACTGGTCTGTGCTGAGATTGGTGCACACCATGTCACAAAACAGTACCGTAACTACCTGTAGTCCTCTATATAGGCCCACTGACTGATTACAGATTGTAGAGACCTCTGATGTTAATTAGTGGAAACACTTTGATTTAACATGCCCCTTTATTTGGTCACAATAAAGGAACATGCCTTTTTAGGGGTACCATCCATTTTGTACAGGCCTGTTACATTAGTTGTTTTTTTTTATCGTTCTGTAGAAACATGATTGAAAAGTAATGTCTGCGTTTAATTTTTTCAATTTCATGGGTTTTTTAATTTATTATTAATTTATAGACAGATTGAAGTTATTTCTGTGACCATTGTGGCTTTTTGCTTTTATTAAAGCCACAGTGTGTAATAATTACAGGGATATACAGTCAGAAATGTAATATATTATACATAAATATGTTATTTTATCATCATCTACGAGCTCAGCCTCTTAACCTTAATATTTGCGTTGCCTTAGAATTCGTTATTTATAATTACATAGGAGCGGGTCTCGCAGCCATGGAGGCAGACATCTTTGCGCTATGGCAGCTCAGAGCCAACAAACTAGCGATTGCGAGATCGCCAAAACGTCACAACGATGTAGAAAAAATAACGGGTATATTTATTATCTTAAGTCTACATGAAATCTATACCCTACACAGACTAATGAAATACTATCTGTAAAATTATCTATGTAAACAAACCTCATCACTTGAGAAGGTAGGTGATGCGGACGTCGTGGAAGACATTTTGTCCCGTAACGCTCGCCGTACTGTTGGGGGGGAGAAGCGGTGGGGGGGGAGATGTTCATGTTGCTGCAGTCTGACCGCTGATGTCGCTAAAAGTTACACACTGTAGCTTTAAACGAGTACCAAAAAAAAATAAATTTCATGTGTGTCTACATATAACAACTGAATCAACCCTAAACTGATGTAAAATTAAGCTCAATACTGATTAAAAATTTCTAAGTAAACGTAAAAACAGAACCCTCCTGTTTTTGTGTGTTTCAGATGCATCTAATGCTTTTGACCCAGGTAACCATCAGAAACTGTTTATTGAACTACTTTTCCTATATCGAATGGCATCAGACAAGTTGTAATTTTTGTTGTGCTTTTTAAAGTGTGCTTTGATTTATCTGTTAAACTACCATCTTGTAAATCATTTCATGTATGCAGATAATCTGGTCCTCTTGTCCCCCAACAGTGCAGCCTTGTAGCAGTTGCTAAGGGTCTGTGCTAGATATGGTTTGACAACATATTTAAACATAAAAAGACTTTCGTCATGGTTGCTATAACTAAGGTGGATCAGAAGATAAATGTTCTATTTTATAGCGAATCAAGTTTGGGTTTGGCGTGAAATACCTAGGTTTTATTCTGTGGAGTGATTGTATTATTTTTTATGATAATATAAAGCGACTGTTCTGAGAGTTATATAGTCAAGCTAATATGTTGGTGCGTAAATTTAGCATGTGTTCAATTGAGGTTAAAGTGTCCTTTTTTCACTCTCTCTGCACCTCAATTTTAACGGCTCACCTGTGATGTAATACTAAAACTATAATGGAGAAACTACAAATAGCCAATTAGGATGCTTTTTGTAATGGATATACCTTTTTTACTTGTTAATTGATCGATTTATCTGTTTTTCTTTAAACGGTAGGGACAACTTTTTTGTCTGAAAATAAATAAAGACCATTTATATCGAGATGGTCTACTTTGCAATTTGGTAAATGCTAATATGTTATTTTTCAGAAATAATCTCGTGGTAAACAGCTGTTAAAAAATGTGTCTGTTTGACATTGGGGACTAAGCTTAGATTCAGAGTTGTCTTTTTATGATTACCTTATGGAAAGATGTATTTATACATACCATATATTGCCCTGCCGTTTATAAATACCAAGACACCGTTATGGATGGATGAGGCTTTGAGTTACTACATGCAGAAATGAGTCAACATTATTTTAAATGGAATCCTTCCAAACCCAATGTGGGAATAAAAAATAAATACTCAATACCATTTTTGTTAATCCAGCAAAAATGAAGAAAATGGTGAGGAAACTGCAGTGAAGGGATGAATATAAAATGGTCAGTGTTAATCTAAACTGGTCTATATACAGTGCTGGATTTATACGGTAATATCACCTTTTTATGTGTTTCTATTATCATGCAATCATAAAAGGTTTCATGCCAATTGATTTTACTGCGATGTTTGAGGCTACCGAAAGGGTTGGTAGTCAGGAGCGTGTTGAATATCTTATAAGTCATTGAATTTAAAACCAAACAAAAGGGAAGGTGAAAAAAACAATATGTGTGTTAGTGGTGACCCACTCACCTATTTATGATAATAAGCTACTCTAAATTCATGAAATATTGGAAATGATTCCTCAATATGCAAATTGAAACTTAAACACTTGCTTATATTTATAAGTGTTAATACGCAAAGAGTATTATTGCTTTTTGTTGTTTGTAGTATAACACTGGAAGTGTCCTAAGCTGGTGGTTTTTAGTTGTTTTTATCATAAGGAGAGGAAGGTGTTTCCTTGGAGCATGCAGGGCCTGCACCCTGCAGGACGCTGATGGATGAGGGAGGTTCAAGCAGGAGGCTGCTCCGCTCTGGATGGTTGGTCACTCTAGAACCTTCTGTAATATCATAGTAAAGCCTCTTTCATTATAGAAGGTTGCATTTTGTTTGTGAAACATCCTGCTTTAACTTTTTTTTTTACATAAATGAACAAATAAAGGTAAGCTTATCACATCTTATACCAGCTCCATAAAGTTGTCTCCTATAAGAAATCTTAAATGTCTTTTAAGTTTAAAGTGTTTCAGGGAAAAACAAAAAATGGTGTTCAAGTCAGACATATCCATCCTGCTACTTAACTTTTGTAGTAGTAGTGGCTTTGATGCCAGGAACCTTTAATTTGATCACATTTCTTTTGTGAGCTTTCTCTTAAATGTTTGTTTACTACTTTTTTTAATTTCGGTGGTCAGCCTAGTTTTCTCCTCTTCAGCATTTAGCTTCTCTTTGCAGATGAAAGAGAAACATACATGCTGTCCAGTTATAGGAGGGGTTTATATTTTATCTTAATATGTCCAACATTGGTATCAGTGTCATATCAGACTACACCACTGTGCTGACTCTATGGATGCATGATGTGGATTATTTTCTATTTCTCACCATCTGCTGCCATCTAGAGGTTGTTGAGATGCTTGGTTTGAAAACAACTTGGAAAAAAGGTTAAAATCACTGACTGTTGATATTTAGGCTTTTACCCATAATTTATGAATTACTTCAACCTTGTCTGACTTAAATTGTTTTTTACAATCAAACCTGGATCCGTACAGGTTAGGCTGACTTTTTTTCAGCAAACTAATGTTTGCTGAAAAGAGAGCAAATAACCAGGAGAAAAGGAGAAAATAATCACATTTCCTCTTGGCTTACTTTTTTCCTTTCTTCACAGCTGTTCACTGCAACTTGAGCCAAAATGGTATTGACCACCAGCTGCGTCCTGAAGACATGACATCTCAGCTGGAGGAGGACGAGGAGTTGGTGAACTGTGAGACTCTCCTGCTGGACGATGACAGCCCAAGCTACCCCGATATCCCCCGGCCTTCGTACCACCGCCGTTCCCCACCACACCGCTCTGTTTCCGAGTCCGAGCTGACCCGGGTAAGAGCCCTAACCATAAAACAAGGATGGAGATTTAAGAGGTTTTTTTTTTTTTTACATTTGTTTTTTAATGTGTTTTAAGCATTCTCTTACTTGTACTGTTATCCACCCTCTACCATAATGCACTAAGTTTCTGTGCACCTTTGGATGTACAACACTGCTCAAATCACAGCTTTGACTCTGAATGAACCAGGAAAGAGGCAGATAAAAGCTGCTTTGCAAGTCTGTCAGCTGCTACATGTTTAGATCTGTTATCAGGAACACAGAGTGATCCTTTACTGCCTCTCCAGAAATAGCCTGATGCTGGAATGGAGGTAGGAATGACTGCTTATTTTACAAAGTCTCACACTCATGAGTAAAATATCTGTCGGTCTGAGCAAGAGGAAGTACTTAAAAGGAGAGAAGGGCTCTGTGTAAATCCTTGAGGGGCCAGAATTAGCCCAGAAGTTTAGTACAGTTGCACTTCCCTTTCAGGATCCTTTTTGCTAAATAGGAGTAACTTAAGAGGCCATTGTTTATCATTCTTAACTAGATAATCTGGGTATGAACATAATCTGGTTAGAGGGCAGTGGCAGCCTAGTGGTTAGGGCATAGAGCTTGGAATCCTGAGGTATGGGAGTTAGAAACCCACTCCCACAGACTGCCACTCTGGGTGTCTGAGCAAGACACTTAACCCACGATTCTCCCCGGGTGCCCCACAATGGCAGCCCACTGCCCCCCAAGGGGATGGGTTAAATGCAGAGGTAAATTTCTCCAATGTGAGATCAATAAAGTTCAATTATGAAGAAAAACAAGAAAAAGACACTGGGTAGGTGGTGATTTTAGGATTATCCAGAATCTTCAGAGAAAAGCCCAGAAAAAAAAGGTTATGATTAAAAATAGCAATTATTCTCACTCCTAGTCACATGGCTAAAATGGGTCATTTAAAAAAATAAATAAATAAACTATGATCACCAAGTTGCATTGTCAGACATTTTTTATGATGTTAAATAAATAAATAAGTTGAACTTTATTGATCTCTTAATGGAGAGATCAACTCTCTGGATCTAACCCATTACCTTGGGGAGCAGTGGACTGCCACTGTGCAGCGCCCGGGGAGCAATGTGGGGTTAAGGGTCTTGTTCAGAGACCAAGAGGGCTGGCTGTAGGGATCGAAGCAGGTACTTGCAACCTTCTCAGAGCACAAGTACATTGCTCTAACCACTAGGACAACACTCCAAAGTTGTTTAGTCTGCATTAAACATTCCTGTGCAGTCTGACATTTTGACTTCCTCAAATGAGAAATGAGAAATGTTGTACATACATCAAGGAAAAATGTATTAATCAGCATGTTTCAGAATAAACATGCATGCACAATAAAATGTTGAATTGTAGAGCAATGCACTTCATCTAAATTTTAGAAGCCCTTCATGAAGATTGAAAGCCTTTTTCAAATATTAATTTTAACGATTATATTAGACTGGCTGATGCCTTAATTTGATTAAATTCATAAATAAGTCTTGCTTTTCATTAAGATTTAATTGGTGAAAATCTGGATTATTTTCCATGTATACACTCCTTGGACCCCCTAAGTTCAGAACAATGCCAGCCTCTTAGATGTTTACTATTATATTTCTTATGGTGTAACACCATTAGCTACACAATATCTGTTGTGTTTTTGTTTCACAGGCTTGTTAACAGCTTCTATATAGTTTAACTTTGAATTCAGGTCAACTCTCAGTAGGTATAACTGAAATAAAGATACATTTTTTTTAAATTGATTTCTGTCATTTATAGCTTTATTCATTGAAACAATTAGATTCTTTATTGAAGACTAAAGTTTAATTCTGACATGTTTGTTGAACGAAATCATGGGGAAGTAGGTTAAATGGAAGAAGTTTAATGGAAGCTAAATGTAAAGTATATTCATTCTTCTCATTAATCCAAATATGCCGTGTCATCATCCTGCAAAGACTTTCCTTCTTCTTATTCAACTTTTTAAAAGGCAGTAAGTTCCAGTTGCAGATCATATGACGTGTTTGATGTGAAAAACGTGTTTCCATTGCAGTTCTGCAAAATATGATAAGCAAAAAAAAAAAAAAAAAAACATCAAAGTGTTAATACTTTTTACTAAAAATATATATTTTTTTGAAATATCAGTGTTTGGATCTAGCAACTTCATTTTGGTAATTTTGTAACTTTTGCAATTTGATGGTTAATGGAAAAGCAGCTACTGACGGATAAACAAAACTTTCAGATGCGTCTCAGTTGTGTGAAATGGACCTTTATCATTGACATTGGAGCCAAAAATCTGCTATCTAGATCAGCTATGCATTTACAAACTATTTACAAACAAAGTCATATACTCCCTATTTTAAGGGAAAATAGCTGCTTTTTATTGTAAAAGCAGCATCAGGATTCTAGCACAGTAGCTGAACCACTAGAGATACCGACTTAAACCCCTTTTTCTAGAGACCATTTGTACAGAATTCAATCTAAGTTCAAAACCTCTAACCGCTGTGGTAGCAGAAAGTACCAGCATGCTGCTGCAGCACATTTTACATGCCTGATTTTGGGATGAACTGTGTTTGTCCCACCTTTAATATGAGAATGGGAACATTGAATTTGTGGGTTTGAAACAACTGGAAATGTTGGAGAGTAAAGAGGCCTGTTTAAGTTTACCGTACAAGCTGCAAAGGATGCAAAAGTCAAGTGAAAAACTTGGGGACCCTAGAGAACTGCTCAACAAAATCACAGGGATGGGTGCTTAAAAATAAAATATCAAACATTAGCTCTGGTTTAAAAAATTGGTTCTATAATGTGTAATTGATCCGACTGTGCTTGGCATCTCGGTGTCAAGTGTCTGCATTAGAGTTAACATTCAAACTCTTTTGGAGAGATTCCAGCAGATCAAGTGCATCAATGCTTAAATTATGAATAATGGTAATGTGTTCCATTAGCAATGCGGCCTCTTGGCTAAAAGCATTTATTAATACATGCAGAGGCTGAGCTAAACCAAGCCAAAGCATGTTAAGGTCAATTAAAGTCACAGTGACACAACTGAGGCTCCAGTGATGTGCAGGTATTAAAGAACGCCGCTCCGTTTAGCTGGTGCTGCGCTTTGAAATGTAATTTCAAACTTAATCCATCTAATCTGATGTAGTGTTGGAGCATATAATCTAATATAGGAACAGGCCGTTCTCTTTGGGATGGGATACTTTAGTAAAGTCAGATGTTTAGATTGTTAGATAGGTGTTAGGCAGTAATTGCATTTTTTATTTTTCTACAAAGCGTACTAGTTTTTGCTCTCTTTAACCCATGAATTTGTTCATATTTTATCCAGCTACAGCCAGACATCTCTATCTACAATGAAGTGGAAGGAAAATGATCCATTCCTGTCAACTGATTAAGTCTAATGGGAGGTGCAAGTCTTTTGGACATTGCATTAAATGCAGACAGGTCTGTTAGCATCTGTAACTCTTGTCACAGATTCAGGTCTTGGCTTTGACTTGGCCGTTCTAACCCACTAATTGGTTTTGATGGCTGGAAGATGAACGCATGTTCCAAGACTTTTGTATCCTCTAAGGATTCTGCTCCAACCATCATCCTATCGACTCTTTCCAGCCCTCCTGTCCTCTCTAAAGTATCCTCGTGGCATGATACTGCCACTGCTATGGGTCCAGCTGTTAGATTCAGGGTGCAGCAACAGTTTCACTCTGCACGGGAACATATTAAATCAGATGTTTTTGTTTTAAATGTGGTGTAATACAATGATAATAATCCGAGAAGAAAAATAAAAACCAGGTTTAACGAATGTAGGGCTTTTCAGTTTCAAAATAACATTAGAAAAAGATAAATCATTTAAATTATTTGTTTTTGAAATTATTAAAACAATAATTAAAAGTTTGGTTAGTAGAAAGCCATATAATGCATTAATGCATAATTTCAGACTTTGTGGCAGAACCACAAATCCTTTTGGGAACACCTGGAGCATTATGTTTTCAATTAGGATCTGATTGGAGGGAATGTGTCGAATCTATTTCATTATGAAACTTGATAAATTCACTGCTAAGAAATTAACGTCCTCTAACCCAACAATGACACAGCATTTCCTGACATCATCTCAGTATTTACTGTAGATTTCAGCTCCATAAAAAACTTGGAGCTCCATAAAATGTGCAGCTCCATAACAATGCAAAACGTTGCTACACTCAGTGTTCAGTGTCACCCTTAAAAAAAAAATCTGTAATTGATACAGGGTAGGGCTTGGGTGCAGCCGTTGCCAGTATCACTCTGTACATCTTTTGGTTATTTAATACTTCACTTTTTTTTGTTGTCTTAAAATACACTACGTAAAGTGAAAATGTTTTTTTGTGTGTGGAAAATGGATGTTTAATTTTCTTTTTTGGATAACACAAAATAAAATGACTGTAAAAACAGAAACCAATAAGACTTCAGAGACCCAATGTGACCCAAATTTGCTCCTGCTGCTTAGTCAAAGAATAAAACGTCTTTAGAACATTACCCGATTATGAGTTTTAGGCTGCGTTCTAGCTGCAGGTCTTAATGCTCAGTTCAGATGTTTGGATGAAATCTGTTTTCTGTTTGCTTGTTTTTTTGTGGTCCATCAGACTACTTCTTAAATGCAGCCACCATCAGACTCCAGTCTGAATGATTCACAGCCCCAGTGCAATCTGCATCCACTGAAGGACAGTGCAGAAGTCACATAGTGGAGCTGGCTATGGAAGTAAAGATGCATGTCATCATCTCTCTATTATTATAAATTTTCTACAGTGTTATGATCATATCATAACAGGACAAAGAAAAGTAAAAAAGAGCAGAATTATTAACACTGTGTTTTTGTGGAGCAGTGACTGCTGTGCTGGAGAGACGTCCAGATGATGACATTAAAGTAAAAAGTGATACAGTACGAGCGTTCAGACTGCAGATGCCTTAAAAACTGTTGGATATATATCTGATTTAATACCACATATAGAAGTGGCACGAATTGCATATTTTGT